TAAACCACTTGTCAATACCTGACGCCTCAAAGAGTGATTATTACAATAACAGGAACTATACTTTTTAGTTACATAATAGCCATGAACCAATATTTGCTGATTATTTGCCAGTTCATGGGGGAGGGGCTTTTTGCTTATTGAGAGCATTTGATTGGGCAAAAATCTGTTAGTGCATAATGAGTCATCTATACATCTGTTTACCCAGAAGAAAAAGACTGTTTTGTCAACTCAAAGCTAACACACAGACAGTCTTTCAAGCAGAGAAGCAATGTTTCTGCCCCTTGCAAAGCATCTTGAATACTAAAAGATAATAAAGGTATAGCATTTGCCAAACTGTACATTAATGCCCTAAACCTGCACATTCACCGCATGACAAAGTGATACTTCCTAAAATATAACCTGTTCTGCCAAAACAAGCAAATCAGGCTGTGGCTGTAATGACCAAAAAAAAAAAAAAAACTGCATATTCAGCTCTTTCTAGGAGGTTCTCAGTGACGGGACGAAGGTCTTACAATCTGTCAGCACTTTTTAATGGATATATAGTGGAACAATCATGCCTTTTAATAGATAAATTGGCCACCTGACTTAAGTTCAGCAGACATAATTTGAAATGTGGAGCAGGCGACTGGCAAGCGTTGTCATTATGGTATTTTGAATATTTTTTTCATCAATTTTTCTTGGTAATACCAAATCAATTATTATGGCCAATTAGATAAATTACAGTCTGCAAATTATTCTGGATTCTCAGTAAAACCCGAGAAACCATTGAATAACCTTTCTAAGAATTGTAATAGATTATTCAAACCTGAACTTGGTCTGAACAAAAAAATATATTACAAATGTCTTCGGATGTCATATAAATTTATATAAAGGCACTTTTGTTAAAGGGAAAGTTTATTAAAAAATGAAAATCATTCACTCACCATTGTTTCAGACCCATTTGGGTTTCTTCTGATGAAGTAGATGTTAGGCAGAATGTTCACACAGCTTTTTTATATAAAGTGAAGATGAATGAGAGCGAATGAGATGAGAAATTTAAGTCATTATACACTAAAATAAAAATACAATTTATTTTAAAAATAAAATAAAGCTAAACAGCAGAATAAAAAAAAACTAATAAAATTACAAAAGCACAGAATTACTGCAACTTAAAATGAAAATATCAAAATAAGATATTTCTGTAGCCTATAGAATGGCTACAGACTTCAGACTTGAAATACAGTCATTTGAACCACTGTTATAATGCTTTGTGACATTTTAGGAGCTTTCTCTATTTAGAAAACAATCTGCCTGAATATTCTTCTAAACATCTCCTTTTGTGTTCCCTAAGGTACATGTTTGGAACAAAATGACAGTTTTTAGCCACTTTTGTAAAGAAAACAAAAAAGTCCGCCAAAAACAAACAACCAGTAGATAATGCACTTCCAAACCACACTCGACAAAAACACTCAGTGCACTTTGACTCCTATTAAATCGTGCAATGTTCCAACGACATTCTATTCCGTTATGACAACAGCAATGCACATTTCTTACACATATGACACACCAATACCACCATTCCATATGCCATCCAGCAATGGTAACCAAGGACAGCTGTTTGAAGGCAGCAGCTTCCCATCTGCTGGTCAGTTTCAGAGGGATTCTAGCTAAAAAAGCAAGCTTGTGTCTTTTCCCCAGACTGGGCCTACAGTAGCTCTCCGAGTGCCGAGTGCATCTAAGGACACGGTTCCTGGACCTAACCCTGAAACTGAAGCTCTGAGCCCATTCAACTTGCGTGTGCTATTGTCTTCTCAATGACCTTGTGGTCGAATTCAGTTCTTTTTACCATTTCCAAAACTTCCCCACAGTAGTTTCAGAAGAAAATGAATTAATGTAGGGCTGAAAAGATTTGCAATCTTTATTAAGATTTGCAATAATAAATAATTAATTTAAGCATTCGTTAGGGAGCAGCAAGTATTTAAACACCATCTTGACAGTTTTTTTTTCTTTTTTTTGGACAGGTGCACTGCAACATCTGGCAGCTTTACAATACGGGCTTGAACAGCCATTGATGAAACACATCACATTCATATCAAACACTATTTGTTCAGAAATCATAATCAGATTCAGGTGTG